GGGAGGAGATAGCGTGCAAACCTTGGAGATTAGCGTAGCACTAGAGTTTGGCCCTCGACCAACCATTGAGGGAGTGGTCGTGGTGGTGGCGGCTCGCTGACGCTTGTTGACACTCGACCACAACTTAAACTCTAGTGTTGCCCGATGCCAGATCTGCAATAGCCACTCTACAACACCGAAATCAATGTCAAATACGTGCAAGGATCAAGATAAAGCCCAGAGTGGGATGACGCTCTCCATGCTTGTCCGTACTCCAGCCAGCTTGATCACGCCCTATACCATGCAACCGTTAGGAGCAGGGCTTCTTTCTACAAAAGAAATTGATTGGATGGAGGAGAAGAAAGGAGATGTACTCGCGTCGACAATCTCGCATGATAAAGGTTTGTCGTTTATCCTTTCGACGCTGTCTCTGCGACTATCCGTATATTCCGCTAACTTTCTTTTCCTGCTCTCATAGAGTCTCCTAGTGCACGTGGGTGAAGTGATATGGGGGCGTCTTAATATGGGCCCAGCTCTGGTCGTCACAGAAGGCTTGGACGAAGAATGGTTAATTCAGATTGACGGATACACTACGGCTACACATGTAGAATAGTTGTCATTCCTTCGTACCGATGATATTACCGACTTTCTATTCGAGAGACAAGCGACCATCTGGTTAGCCTCGAGTGTCGAGGGGAGCTACGGCACGCTGGACATGAAGGCAGTAAAGCTGTTTACGACAATCATGAAATATAGAAGCCCTAAGAGGAGATGATGGTAACGAATTCCATCAGCGAGGGTTATGGTGCGTTGCCTGACGGATGTGAACAGCGGTGCTGATCACTCGAGCCGCTCCATTATCACGTCCAAAAGCTTCGGCAACAACCGGGGGTTCAGCTTACGGACTGGATCCCATTTGTCCATCTTGGAATCTAGACTATCATCATGGTAAAATGGCTCATCACTATCTCACTGACTAATGTAAATTCATCGTTGTCTGTATTCATGAAATCCAATTTTGTGTAGCTACGCCAAACTACTGTTTGGATTAGTGTCACTAGAACAAGAACTCGAATCACAAAGAGCTGTTGTGACAAAGTCCTCACACATAAAGGAATAGTTAGCATAAATTTACCGAGCGATC